TCAAGGTGATCTGATAATTAAAATTTCCTTATTTTTATTTAGGACACAGTGAACTCATGCAACTATCATAATTTTTACTGTTATCTCATATCCAACAGTTTAGGCACGAATAAAAACTGGTTTCCATGATTTGCAATAAAGTATAAATAAAAAGCATGTCTCTATTAATCTATTTTTGCAAACTTGTTATATATCATATTTTTTGTTGATTTTTGGATTTCTTTTTGTGTAATTTGTTAAAAATAGTCAAATACACCTCTTAAAAGAAGTCATTTAAAAAAAAAAATCGTTTTTTAAATAGGATAAGATATTACTCAACGAGTATTGTAATTTATTATTTTCAATAGATAAATTGCTCGCGGCAATGACCACCAAGGCCCTTACTGTTATAAACATGTTCTTTAAGCCCTGTGCTAATGAATATAAAAATTAGCTGCCGTAACTTGCGGTTTCGGTAATTATCAAGCAAATTCAGACAATAAAGCTGTACAAAAAGCGGGAAAAATGAAAATTCTACCTGTATATAAACAGCTATATAGCTAATAAATATATATCTTTCTGTCATTGAAAACTGAAGGAAAAGTATAAAAACAAATAAACTGAAAGAAAATTCAAGCGAAATTCAATAAATTTTTTGTACTCAAAATTGATACCGGGATATTGTTTTCAGCTGACTACTACGTATTTTATCTTCTAATATTTGTAGGCCGATTAAAGTTTTTATACTATATTGAACAACCTACAAATATATATTATTTACGAAACCTGAATTATAAGAATATAGTTTTAAATAATAAAAAAATATTGAAAGCATATTTTTACGACTATTAACATATAATTATATGTTGTTATAATCAATTATAATAAATCTTTTAAAGTAGGATATAAAAAATCACATTTACAGTATAATATATTTAGGTTCTAGTCACAGCTAAAAAAAAAAAATCATTTTAGCACAAAATACTCACTGCTAAAAATACATCGTTAAATTAAAACATGTTTCTAAAGAATTCCATTGAAACTACTCTAATCGCTCTTTTGATTCGAGTGAAAAGCAACCATCCTAATTCCAACAACGAAACAAAAAAAAAAAAATCTGGTTTATTAACTCAGGTTAGAGATTGAAATTACATAGATCATTGACAATTTAAACTGATAAAATTTTACTCAAGGTTACTAGTAAGATAAGCAGTTCTACAAGTCCGGAGAGCCAGTGCGAAATATTGGCATTATCTGAAGAAAATTTTAAATTTTTTTTTTTAATATTCATTCATAAGACTTATATTTAAAAAAATAGATTTTCTCAGATCAAGTCGCCTGAAAAAAATGGCGGCTGATTTAAAGAATATTAGGCCAGTAACTTGAGGATCGAACAGGAAAATTTACTGCGAGAAAAGTTTATTTTTTTTAAACTTGTATGTATGGGTTAACATGTAAAACACAAATTTTCTATCTTGAGCCACGAAGGGAAAACTAACTTTAACCAAAAAACCTAAATTTTTCGATATTTTTTTTGTTTTTTCATCTATAATTCCTAAACGGTGCGTAGAAGCGAAAAAGTTACTCTTTAAGTAATTAAGGAACGTTAAATTTTGCGTCGAGCTAGTACCTAAACTTAATAATTTGGTTAATTATTATTATTATTATTTTGGTGCTCACTTTCCTCGCCTTTAAGGCTATACGGGGTTTTCCAGAGCCAGAGGGTGTGGGCGGGGACATTTAAAAGACGCCACCGACATCGGGACGCGAACTCGTGACTATTTGTTATCATTTTGTCACATATATCAGTTTGCCGATCAACGGCGGTGATGTGCATATGCTTTAGCCCTTTCGGCTACCCCGCCCACTATAATTTGGTTAAGTCGTACGGTCGATAACCACGGCCTACTATCGCTGAGTTTTACTAAATTTGTTAAAAACGTATTGTATTATTGGCGCCTCGGAAATGATTTCCCTAAGAGAAAAAAAAGCCTAGAATAAAAGTTGAAGAGCATCAAATTCCACGTAAATTGTCTGATCTTTACTGTGTTCGAAAGTAACAGTGAATATAATGGCATAGAACAAATGTAATATTGATCTTTGGTGCATCGTGCAATTATTTCATCATAAACTGAATAATGATTGCTTATTGGTACAATGTATTTGCTAATATTGGGGGAATACGAGATGAGAAAAAAAAAAAAGATTCTAGTGCATCAAAAGAGATTTTAGTTCGGCCATAGGTCATGAAGACATTTGATGAGCTGATTAAATAATCAAACTGTTATCGATCAGCTGTTTCACTCGGTATATAAGGCTGGTATTTGATAGGGATTTTAGAGTTGATGGACTCACATTAAGAACTGTGTACGAATTTGTCGTGATGAAACATAAGATCCTTCTTAAATTTGTCTCACCTCAATTACTCGTTGACACTAATTCATTATAGTTGACTTTTCGTCAAACAAATGTTTAAATTATTACAAACTTCCATTAAATTATCTTTGAAATACCCAATAACTAATATTTCACAGTTTTAGTAAAATTTAAAAATGTATTAGTTTTTATCGTGCACTGCTGTTTCTACAGATAATTGAAAATAGGTGATGGAGAGACAATTCAGGGCTCCACGGACGAAATTTCTTTGGCCTTCGACAAATATTAAATTAATCATTGAAACTATCCTTGTATTTTGTAATGTTAATAATATTCTTAGTAATGATAAATCTAAGATGTTTATTTTCATCACTTTTTTTTAAAGATAATTTTAATTCTATTTTATTCATTTATTTTCATTCTATTATTACTATTATTTATATTTTCTTTCTTCACTATAATATTTTATTTTGTTCTTTTGTAGCTTTATATTATTTGAAGTTAGGTTTTCTTTTTTTTTAATTTGTAAATATGGTGTGAATGTGCTTTCAGAACTCTATTATAAATGTCCTTTATTGAGACAGATTGTAATATTTATCAATAGACAAATAAATAATAAAAAAAAAATAATGATAAGAAATACACTATCGGCTATTTAGCCTTTTTCCTCCCCTTCTTATTCCTCGCTTTTCAAGTTATAAGAGATTTTACTCAGACCAGGGAGGAGAGCGGAGAATTATTGCCAAAGTTAAAAGTTCCCTCAGCATCGGGATTTGAAATCGTAATCTTCGATTTATCCCGTTGCCTGGCAAGGGTGTTTCATGCATGACATTAGGCCGCTCGGACACCATGCCCTCTCGCTATTTAGGATTTATAACTTACAGCTGTTTATTGACCAACAATTTCTTTTAGAGTACTTTAGAAAAACAAAACCTAGTCAGCTGAATCTTCTTGTTCGGAGTCCTGGTGATATGGTCCAGGCTGCTCTCTCCACCCCCTTCCAGGTTTCCAGTTATCTGCATGCGAATCTGTAGAGTCCTCTTTTATTCGATCTATTCAGAGATGCTTCTTGGAATTCATAGTGTGTAGAACCCCGCACATCTTAACATATTTCTTTCAAATCATGAAACATTGATTGACCAGTTTCTGTAACCAATTCTTTCTTGGTCCATTTTCTTAATCGCTCTAGTTATCGTGCGGAGGATTTTTCTCTCAAATCATTCAATACTTCTTTCTAGAATCTTGGTTATTATCCAGATCTTGCAGCTATGTATCAGAAGTGACTTTATCATAATAAGAACACTCTTGGTTTGAAATTTCAAGAGATTTTTGTAATTTCAATGCCTATGAAAGACAGAAGAAAGCGGTGTTTGCGCTTATTACACGTTGATTTATTTTCGACCGTTGGGGATATTGCGGAGCCGATGTTTATGAATTTGTCTACTCTCGGGAACTATTTCCCTTTCACGCAGATCCTGTTGTCAGGGTGATAATTTTCAACTTATTAGCGTATATTTTATTTTATGTTCATTTACTTTTAGGTCGATTTACTCTGTTTCTCTCGTCAGTCTTAGCGAGTTTCTCAATATCTCTCTTGATTGCTTCCAAGTACAGCTATATCATCTGTATATCCAAGAATTTTGTGATGTGCACACCTACATTCCGAAGTGCAGCCCTACAGTGCTACGTTGAATAACATCGGCGAGAGTCCATTTTCCTTCTGCAAATTAGTTCGAATTTTGAAGGCATTTAGGGTCATTCATAAAGTGATAGTGATCATTCGAAAATCATAACTTCCAGGTCAGTCATGGTTATCCAAAGACAGCTTTTGTCCATGGAATCATTGGTTGCTTTAAAATCGACAAACGAGGCGTACCCACCCTGAGCTACTTCCCATCGTTTATCGAGCACTTTTTTTAGGACGAAGTCTAGCGTATTCCTTCTTCTGGAACCAACTTTAGCAGAATATTGGTGGGCAGCAGCAAGTAGTGTTATGCCCCTGTAATTGCTAAACTCATAAATGAAACCTTTCTTTAAGATAATTTATCGATACAAACAAATAAATAAAACTTGAAGATAGATAGGGTTGGCATAGAGAGTACGACACCGTACTCCTACTTTCTAACACCAGCCCGAGGTCGAAGTTGTTGGAGTCGGGAGAACCTCCTGGCTGTTGTGTGTGATCTCAGTCAAAGTAATTCCTTGTACAACTATTGACAAAGAAATACTACTTCCTTGAAGACTACTAAACCCAAACCCAAGAACCCTTCCATTGGTTATAGTAGGTACAGGTTTTTTTTTATCTTCTTAACATTTCGACTATAACATTATTGAACTCATTGTTGTTGAACGCTCACGACTTTGTACTAAGTTTTCATAAAAAAAATAGTAGAATGAGAAAACACATTAGTTAGGAAAAGTGGCCAATTCTTACAATTCTCACGGGACAATTGAATAGTTTAGTTGCCATTCTAGATCTATTAAACTCGATCTAGGTAATCTAGTAAAGAGTATGATTCAAGGTATGATTCAGGTATGATTCAATTATCTAGGTATGATTCAATAATCGATAAACTAAAATACTTGCTCAGATTGAGGGTTATTTCGTTCATCAACAGTTCAGTTGGCCTCCTGTGTCAGGAAACATGGAAAGCAGAACGCATCATGACTCAACTGGAATTTCTGTCCAGTCGGCAGGTTATTGAACCATTAGTGACCCATTGGAGCAGGCCATGCCCTGTATAGAAAAATCTTTAATGAATGTATCTTTAATGTCGGTACTATTAATTTTCTGGAAGAATGTGGCAGAGGCGAATTCGCTATTGCTATTGGACAAAAACTTGTTCCACGCTACGAAAAAGAAAATAACGATCAAGCACAAGATTGGTTTTGTTTTTCTTTCTTGGTGTTTAACGAGAATAGAAATCTAATCAATTAAATCTAATCACATTTCTACACTTGCTTAAAACATGTAAAACGAAATTAGTGTTGAGACATTCTACATTTGGCTACACTCTTCCACTACTTAGAAATAAATACATGGGAATAGTTATATCGTATCAGGAAGTTCCATTAATCATAGGTTTCCATTCGTTGCTAAATCAATAACTATTGATATTTTGTTTCCTCTATTCTCCACTAGTAAATAAAGAGTTCAGCAAATACGTGGAGCCTTCTTGCGCCGACTGGTGGGGTCCAATCAAGAGAAGAATGTGGTAGGGGGGGGGAGGCAGCTGGATCGATCGAAGAGGCCTATATAAGAGCGCTTCAGGAGGCACTGGCTATCACATCAGCCATGCCAGACCCGTGCTGTGGAACAGGGCAAGGTATGGTATAATATTTATTATTTTTAACAATACAAATATGCACACTAATTATTATCTGTTAGTATAATTACTGATTTATATTATATGTAACCCATTCATGAAAAATAATCCATCAAAATATTCTGTCCTATCAGGGAAATGCAAATTTGCAGATAACGTGACGGAAGTCATTTTTGTAAATTCGTTGAATTGAGTACTCTCCTGCATACATTTTTAATAAATCCAGTAAATAAATATTAGATGTAATATTGCGTGAACTGTCGTACATCGCACTATCATCACTAAGAGTTTTAATTGACTACGTAAAGATATATTTCAATATTTTTAGTAAGTTACCGATAATATTTTTTGCTTTATATTAATTTAACCTTAAGGTTGAAGAATCCCAGGGGAATGTGCTGAACCACATAAGAAAAAGAAACGAGGGAGGACCAACCGGTACTCATTAGTACCTCTTCCAGCATAATATTAACCACAATTGAAGAACCAAGAGTTTCGTTGCCGGAAACATTAATTATAAACCAGGTTCATAATAGGATTTTGATTTCAGTTAAGAAAAATATATAAATAAAAAACCCATTTTTATTTCTGATAAAAATAAATGCTAAACATCACACAGAAGTTATTAGTTACAATTTAAACTTATTACTTTTAATATTTCAGTATATATATTTGTTTTTTTATTATTTTCAAATATTAACTGATTTAAATCAGGCTTGACCGACCAAAGCAGGTGGTTTTACTGTTCACTTGATGGTACGTAAAGTTTACAGTGTGTAGCAGGTTTTAACATGCTTTTAAAAAATCTGGTGCGTGCATCACACAACTTTTACTTACCTCTCTACTTTTAATAGAAATTATTTTCAGGCAAAATAGGGCTATTAAAAAAAGTTTTTGAAGTGCATTTTTAATAAAAATAAACCTTAAACAACTCGTTTTTGAATTTCGATCATATTTACCATTGCAAAAACAAAATAACACAAATCCTCTTTAATGTATCCACGGTTGGCAATAACAACTAGTTCGGCTCATGACGCTATTAGTCTATTTGAACCATTTAACTCCAATCTTTAAGCTGTATATACAAAGACAGATTTGAAAGAACAAATATATTTTTGTGCTATAAATAAGAAAGGATTTTACTATCTAGTAAATAAAAAGGAACTAAATCGCATTCACGTTTTACGTGAATTTAAATTCTTATTGTTTCCCTTATAAAATTTATCGAATTGAGTTACGAGCTTTTCATTGCCTACCATCGATAAGTCAAAAGTCATCTGACTTGCCAGTGGATAATGTTGTGATTTCACAGATGTAAAACACATTAAATTATCAACTAATTTAATTTTCTAAAGTGCTACTTTACGATTTTTCAAAATAAACCTAGGATATATATCTGTCGTCCGTGGTACAGATCCCTATTTATCGAATGATTAACATCCGCCTGAAATTTCATAAATAGTTAGTTTCATCTCATCCTAACCTACAACTATTTTATTTACGAAAACTCTTGCAATTGGGATGTTTTCAATCTGGAGGGGGGGGGGGCAAACTTTGTCTATTTAATTAGGTACTAAAAATTCGTAAATACCCATTTGCTTTATAATTAGATCGTTAATAAGATAATTCAAAAATATTGAGCCGCTTGGCGTGACCTACACCCCCAAATTTTCAAAATAACGAGGTCATATTGGACAAACGGCGGAATATTTTTGAATTTTGCCTTTTTTATCGATTTTCCGATAAAATTATCTTAGGATCCAAGTAGAAAGGAAATGGGTATTTACGGGTTTTTATTACCTAATTAATTAGACAAAGGTTGTTTCCCTCCAGATTGAAAATGCCCCAATTCCAAGAGTTTTCGTAAATAAACTAGTTGTAGGTTACGATGAGATGAAACTATTTACGAAGTTTCAGACGGATTTTAATAATTCGTTAAAAAGGGGTCTATATCACGGACTACGAGTTATTTAAATGTATTTTTGGATCTAATGTTATTTAACTATGTATTTATGGTTACAAACATATGTGTCACCCATTCATGAAATATTTAATATTTCATTTCTTCTTCAATACAAGTACAATAAAATAGTATTTTAAAGAATAACATTGTCTCTATTCAGTATATTAAATATATTTATTTTTCCAGCTTAAAAATAATTTTAAAATGTTATATGGAATTTAGGAATTTCATTTAATTTCCATGAAATCATTTTGTTTCCGTAAAATAATATAAATTTTCAAAAATTATTGTTTATAATTTTTTCGTCACTCTCCATTATCTTATAAAATTTTTCTTATTAAATTTTTTTTAATCCTCAGCTTTTCAACGATATATTATATGTGTACAATCTGACTATTATTTTCGAAAATTCATATTCAGCCAGAAAAAAAAAATTTCTTTTTTTTCTGTTTTAGTCAAGTATCAAATTCTTTCATTGTTTATATTTGGCCTTTTTTTGTATTACTAATAACAATAAGAGACAATTAATTTTTTAAAAAAATAAAAAAATTACTTTAGAAGAAGAAATTTCGAAAATTGAACATTTAAGTCCTGTTAGCCAACATTTACATAATATTGTATAAAAAAAAAAAAAAAAAATCATAAGAAGCATAATATTAATGTTATGGTAAATATTTTTTTTAAAAAAATTTATTTTAATTTTCCTATTCCTTTATTAGAAATTCGGTTACATTATCTTTGTTAATGCTTAGGATTCCTTATTTATCTTCAGGATATGACAAGTTTTTCCTGAATATATGAAAGAGAGGAAACCGAAATGTTGACAAAGATGGTGTAAGCGAATTATTAATAAATGAATAAGAAAATCGGAAGAAATTCCTTTTTAAAAACCTATTAAAATTGATATGTTTTGTGTGCAAACAAATAAACACTAAAATTTCTACAGAAATATAAAATTCATGTTTTATTTTTTAAAAAATGTAACGAACAATCTACATTGGTCCATTTCTGTTGATTTGGCAAAAATTAAAAAATAATAATTAATAAATTAGTAAGAAAACTATACTTAAAGGCAATTTTTACTTCAAAAACAAAAAGAAATACGGAATGATTTCAACAATTAAAAAAAAAAATAGCACTAAAAAGTTTTTCATACCATTTTCATGTATGAAATCTGAAACGTGAGTTAAGCTAAGTCGTACAATCTAAGGTGAGGACGTACACTTACAAACAAAAAACTATATTAATAAAAAAAATACAAGTTGTAACATACTTCTGAGAACAGATTAGAAAAAATAAATAAATATTTATTATAAATATAAATATAATAAATAAAATCTGCATAGAATTTGAAAAAGAGAAAATAATTGGACAGTTATTTTTTTTTTTTAATTTAAACTTACTTTAATTTAAAGTCTTACGGTTTCTTAATGTAATGGGTCGACATATGGCAGATGGCAGACAGAATTAAATTATTGCTTTACTCTAAGTACTCCCCCCCTCCACAGAACTCTTATAGCGAAAAAATATTTTTAAAAGTTTACTACCTATGCACCTTGGATATTTAAAAAATAAAAATAACGATTGTATCCCAAACGGATACTCTATTGTATTATTATTTACTTTTTTGCTAAGCGAATAAATAACAGCCACTTGTGCAATTACTAGAGAACTAATTTAGAAATGAAGGTCATTTCCTAGAAAACTTCACTAGTTGTTATTACTCATATACGACGTAATATATTCAATGCATTCTAATTAAATAATATGAGCTTTTCTGTGTTAACATTAAATATAAATTTTAATTAAATATTTGTCTATATATAATTATGCAAAGACAAAACTGCTCAGTCCCTTTTTCTCCTCTGTTTCTTCTGTTCCGACTTTCTTTCTTTTTTTTTTAGTAGCTGTAGACGAGCTTTAGTGTTATCAATAAAAAAAAAAAATGTAGAGTGTATATAAATAAAAATGTAAATGTTAGTTTGTTCAAACCTCTTATCTCCCAACGTTCTTCACTATTTGCTTTGAAATTTAGACACATTGTTGTAATCAAATTCAGAATTGTTTTTAATATACATTTCATTACCATCTGGCCATTCGTTTCGAAATGGCGAACAAAAAACCTGTGTCTGTATGAACTATAGCACCAAGTAACGATTGTATTGAAAATTCGCTAAAGTCTTGTCTTTAAATTAAAGATTTTAATTTATGTATATAACATATTTTCCTTAAAAAAAAGTTTTAAAAAAAGTAATGATGGGTTCAGAATTTTAATTGCGAATAACTCAAAAAGTACAAAAGTTTTGGTATGATGCCTATGAATATTTGAAAGCTTTCTGAATTTCCTGTAAAATGGAAAAAGAAATCATGGAAATCGAAAAGAATCATGTCCGATAAGATAATGTTAATGCATTTATTTTTTACATTTTTTTTATTTATATGTTTTAGAACAAATTTATAATTGAAATGAAACAATTCGTACTGACCGAAAGAGCAAAGTGGGTTCAAATATTTTCTTAAAAAAAGTATAAATAAATTTAGAATTTTATTCGTGAATTACTTATAAAATACAAAAATGGTATTCAGAAGTTCATATGAAAGTGTATGTACAAATATATAAAAGTAAAAAAAAAATGTTATAAACATGCCAATAAATTTATGTTCCTCTCAAATTTTCAATAATAATTATGATCTTATTTCGATCATTGGGTGAACACTACATAGTTATAATAGATATCGTTGTAGTAAATGAATTCTGAAATGTAAGTGTTTAGTTGTTTTGTTTTTTTAACAATCATTGCATTTTTATTTAATTACGCATTTTGCACGTAGTAAGGCGACACAACACATATTTTTGGTTTGAAAAATATCATAGTAATTGGTAGAATTACTTCGTGAAAATCTTCGTTATTTGAAGAATTCGTATTCACTGAAAGGTGAGTGAATTCTTAAAATATTTGTACCTTTTCTGTTACATTTACTGAAAAAGAAAAAGAAAATTAGAAAAATTTAACATAATGAAAAAACAACAACATAATAATGTTTTATTAACTCAATAATTGCCCATTTAATTCATTTGGGCTTATTTATAAAATGACCTTTTCATATCTTTATCTTTTTAAATAATTCCTCGACTTATGTTGGAAAGTGATACTTACACACTTCTGTTATTTTTGTACATTATTTTTAAAAATAAACAGAAGCTATAAATAAATTCTAAATTCAAAAATTTTAAGAAATTCTAAATTAAATATTGAACAGATAGTAATCTTCTGTAGGCAGAAATCATTATATCCATTCGGTTTTTCATTTTTTTTTTTTTTTTTTATATATAGACTAGTGAATTAAGGAAAGTTATTTAATATGTCAACAATAAAGAATATCTGTATATATTATTTCATTTTAAATACCCAGGGTGTGTGTGAACTTAAAGGGAGTGAAAATCTCCGGTATTTTTTCTTCATTAAAATTTAATGAATCCTTAGTTATTTAGATTTAAAAACGCCATTATTGAAACTGCAGATAGAAACCGACGTAATAACGGAACGAAATGTGTTGATCTCAGCAAAAAAAGTAATTTATTTTGATGCTGACCCGGTCTAAAAGTAGAACGAAAGCTAGCTTTCTTCTCAATTTGTAATATAGATTTCTACGTTTAAATTACAGAATTCAAGAATGAGGATATTCGTTATTTTATGGTTACTTTTATATTTACAAATAATTTTTTTTATAAATATCTTTAAGGCAGTAGTTGAAGAGATTCCAAACTTAAGTTAAATGACCTCTTCAATTGGGCCTAGGTGCAATACTTATACAAGGGTGTGATTTGGCCAAGATCACGCTTAACCAGCAGGTTTTCCCCCATAATTAATTAAAAGTGTCCCAACTTATAGAGGCTGGTTGAGTCTCATGAGGATCTTCCGACCCCTGAGTCGATACACGGATGATGTAACAGAATAAATAATTAACTGTTACAGACGGACTCAAATCTATGAACTGGAACATAGCGGTTAGTTATTCACTGAGCTATCCCCGCTCCATTAATTCGAGCACTAAGTATATTTAAAAATTCAATGCTACTGTAAAATATTATTTTGAATATCTAGATTCCTCCACGTTTGACTTATAGTTCGACTTTTATCGAATAACTAAGGAATATATTAATAAAATTGATACGTATTTTAATACATATAAATATCTATTAAAAAAATGTGGATGCTCGGCTAATTGTAGAAGATTATCATAACAATAATGCCAGTAATGGTGGATACGTCTAGATACTATTAGTAAAGAAATATATTTGAATATGCTGAATGTATAAATATGATAATGCCATCTTTCCATAATGGAAGATTCTATGAAAACAAATTTAAGAATTTCATAGAATAGTAATAGAACATTTTAACAAAAAATAAAGGGTTCATTACACATATGTAATAGATATATCCATTTTAAAAAAGAGAACGATTGAATTCGGCAACGTAAATATAAAATTATATATCATAGAGATGTAAATTAATGTAAGTGGAGGTTAATTTTCTTTCACCTGTGTTTAATGGTACTATTGGTTGACACAATTTTTTTTTAACGGAATGAATATTATATTAAATATATATATAATAATGAAATACTTATGAATTTTACAATCACTTAATTATAAAATTGAATTTTATCGCGAATTTATTAAACCATCTTGTATAAAATTAATATTTTTCAATTTTACCCCAGCCTTCATATTATTTTATTATCAATGTATTGAATAATAACGTATTCAACAAGAATCTTAATTTACTCATTTTTTCGGCTAACTATTTTTCTATTCCTTATTCGTTACTAAAAAAATTGAATTATGATGTTATGGAAAATTCTCAAGCTAGTTAGAATGTTTATAAAATAAAGGCGTGAAATGATAATGACAGGAGTTATTTACGAAATTCCAAACTTCACGAAATGACCTTTTTTGCTACACAAACAGAAAAAATATTACGTGATATAAACCATAATATTTATCAGATTTTATTTAATTGTCAGAAATCTTCCTCATTTGGTATTGTGGAAATCAAGGAGATAGTATTTGTTGCCACAGTGCATTACCTTGCACCTCCATTGCCTTGTAAAAAGATAAATTTACTGAGGATTTATATCAAAATTAATTGTATCTCATACCACATTAATTTGAAACACAGATTTTATAAACCATATAAAGTTCAGTTTTTTAGTTCTAGGCGTAATCACAAGAAATAATCTTTGCCTAAAGATATTATATTGTGGAAAATAGATAATTCTTAGTTGATTTGTAGCCACTATATTGACAGCTAACGCAAATAACTCAAATTTCGTGCAGAACAATCGTATTTGTTATAGTCTCCATAGCTGCATTAAAATATTAAGTAATGAGATAAAAATAATATTTACTTTAGTTTACTAGAACGTCTTTGTACAATAGCAGCGACTTATTTTTGGGGCACAGCCAGTTATCGAGGGTTCAGTGAACTATCTGAGAGTAGGGTTGTAGCGAAATGACCTAGGAGTTTGGAGAAAGTTGCTGTTTTCTTCCTGAAGCTTTAAATGATATTCATGGACTACGTTTAAGAGGTTAAGGCGATGTTTTATCATTGGATGTGTTTGATTTCTTTTTATATCAGTCAATTGTTGACCTTGTGAACCTTTTGTGATTCTTCTTTCAAATGTCAGGCCACAATAATTTACTGTGTCTAGCACACTTCATGTCGAAGTGTAAATGTGATGTGATGTGTGCTATTTTTCCCTTACTTAAAAGTGTCACATCTTTTGTTTATATAGTATTGTATGGTCTATAAGGCGTGTGTTGGATTATATTTCTTTTTTAGATTACTTTGTCATTCTCTATTCTAAAATATCATCGGTTTAAATAAAAAAAGTCGTTAAGTTCATTTCTGATAGAACTAAAATTTTAAGTAAATTTCGGCCTCATTCAACTGAAATCGATCGATTTTAGGAAGAGCATCAAATAAGAGTTTTGTGTATAAAAATAATTTCAATAAGTGTCCAATGTTCCAATTTCACTGAATGAAAATTCATCAAAGTACTTGATGATTTAATTTTATAAAATATTATTTAATGACTTGAGTTTGTATGGAATATAGTAATGGAGTGCGCATTGAACTTTAAAGCTACTGCTGAGATAGGCCTAATGGAAATAGAGTTTAGAATTCGTTTAAATAATATTTATAATTTGGTCCGACCAGATGGCAACGTCTATCGGTCAGTGCCATTAATAATAAGTAAATATATTTTTCAAAGTTACATTTCGTTTCTAACGATTTAAATATATAATATAATAAAATATAACATGATAAATATATCATTTAAAATATTAAATGTCCTAACGGTTGCCTATAAATGTTTTATATTATAGTTGATATAATCGTTCGTGGAGATGCACTATACATATTAAACATATAACTATTTGAATAAAATTAATCATTGGGTAACAATCTGCAAAGCTTTTATTTATCTATTTAACGCCAATGAATCAAATTTAATCCCTTTTTATTACATTTGCATATAATCTAGGAATTTTTAAAGGCCACTTTCGCTTGTTTTAAAAACAGGACAGCAATAAAATGTCTTGGTTGGAAGAGTTAAGGTTCTTGAGCGTTCGACCTTGGGAGAGATGGGCGCTCCTGTGAAGTTGTGTAATATTATGTACATTATGACATATTTTTTTTTTAATTCCTAACTTTTAGTTTACTTTAAAGTTAGTGTATTTAAATATTGTATCCTCTTTAAAGATTTTTTTTTTGTTTTATAAAAGGGTTAATATTATGCAATTTTGTTGTTGTAGCTTGCCAAGGAGCCAAATGCAACTGCACGAACTGCAACTGCGGGAAGGACTGCAGCTGCAGCTGTACAAAGGGCAAGAAGTGAATGTTGCGCAATAGTTGTGGAGATGGCGCTGCGATCGACACAGCTCGTTGGAGCCTCTCCATAGATTTATCCCACCCACTCATTTCATTTAAATGTCTCCTATTGTTATCAAATATATTTTTTTTTAATTGACTCCCTTATTATCTCTCCTCATTCCTAAGATTGTGACTAAGGCATCATCGTTTATCTCTAATTAAAACTTAATGCATATTTTAATTGTTTATCATATCGCTACGTTTCTATATTTAATTATGATATTTATAAGAATATCAGTGACACTTTATATTAACCTCGTAACTTAAATCTACAGATTTTTTTTTCCAAATGAAAAATAAATAGGGTAAGCTCACCAGTAATGGATATAGCTAAGGAAATTGTTTCTTTTTTGGGTTATGCCGCCGTAATTATTATAGTTATAAACTTGGGCATTTAGAATTTCTATGTTCTCCTTTTTCCATTTTACCTTTAAAATTGAAAAAATATTCAGTTATGCATTTATAATCTCCATTAAAAAAAACAAACACATTTTTGCACTTTTTATGGATACCCTGAAATTCAATTGTTCTAGTAATGGACAGGGAGTCGTTCCCAGTAATAGACATACCTCAGAAAAATTTGAAAATCTTTATCTAACTATAAAGATGAAATAACATAAATGTTCAAAATACTCTTAGCGAAACTGTTAGTAGGAAGGTATGAAAAGCATTGATCTCAAGAGCACTATAGAAACAATAATGATAAGCATTTTATAATTTTCTTTTGGAAACTTTGTTAATACAGTTGTCAATAGAGGGCATTGTTTTGCAATCTAGAAAAAAAACTGCAACCTTTAAATCAACAAAGCTTATTATTTACATTTAAAGGCTAACCTGTCCATCATTGGTCTATGATGAAAAGTATTAGGTGAAAAAAGTTAGTTTTGCAGAAATTTTTAGTTTGACCAGTCCGGGGGAGGGCTTTCGGGCTGAAGTCCCCCAAAATGGTAAAATGTAACCATGTTCTATGGTAAAACATATTTAAAAAATCATCTTTTAAAGTATTATTGTTCGTGTAATTACATTTAATAGAACTTCAAGAATCACTTTTCATACAGGTAGTTAGTATCTTTCTTTTTTTCCAAAGTAATTATCGTTATATATATATATATATAAACTTTCTGGCCGAAGCCCCTCCAAAACAAAAAACAGACCACAGCTAGTGTAATTGTATATAATCAACGATATTTTAATGAAGAGAAGAATAGTTGGGGTAATCAGTCAAATAAGAAGGCAAAAATAAATGATAATATTATCATATTTTTGCCTTATTATTTGACTGATCACCCCAACTTTTCTTCTTTTCATTATTAACGACAGCCAACCATTTTACCCACAATATTTTAAATTCTAACGTCGATTTCAAGATGAGAGTGGAGGGGATTCATGTGCCATGACCTTGGGAATGAGCATCCCTGTTTAGTTGTGCTCTTATTTTGTCTTTCCTCTGTCCTAAAGCTTAAGCCTGAACTGCAGTAGGAAACAAAATTTTTTTTTAAATATTTATTTGTTTCTCATTGTAACTGCAACCTCATTAACTTCTCAACCATATCATGTGTAGCAAACTATTTCTCTACCATTATGAAGTTAGGTAATAATTGATTGAGTACAGTTGTTACAGTGAAAAAAAAAAAGTTGGTTTGTTCTTGTTCTAAATAATTGTGTTAAAGTAGATATAGAATGACTGACAAGGAGCAATAGATAACTATTTTAATGGTGATTGAGGTTCTAAAAGTGAGGCATGGCCTCGAAAAGTTGACAACCGAATAACACTTCTTTTTAAAAGGAAGATAATGGAAGGAGGAGTTTCAAACACCTATAATTATTGTATTAACATCACTCAAATGTTTCCTGCAAGTATGATTAACTACATAAATATAAAAAATCCGATTTGAAATTGAAATGTGAAAAAAATATATCTAACCAATCTTAATAAAAAAAATATTATTTTCTGAATCAACTAAATCAAAGTATAAAATCACATCGAGTAGATAAGAATGAAATTGAATTTCATCTCACTCATGAACCTCATAAGTGAATTACAATAAAAGTAAAAATATATGTGAATGAATCCATGTTGCATGTTAACCTCTGTGTCTCAGACTAAGGTCATGACCAGAAGAAAATTTTAAAATAATCCAACCAAACGTAATTTTATAGCCACGTATGCAATTAAATAGCCATCATACAGGATGTTTCGTAATTGTACGGCACTATTTTAGGTATGTGTTTACTAACACAAAATAAACAAAAAAGTTCATAAATATCATATATCTCAAACTCATTTATTAAATAGATATCAAAGGTTAAAGATTTATTATTTATTTACTACATTAAGACTGACTTTACAAAGTTTAATACTAAATAACAGGCATTAATCACCTGATAAACAACTGAACAATAAGCAATGACAGTAGTTGCTCATCTGTTTGTCTAGTTCTGTGTGTTTTAGTGTGAGTGAATACTGTGACACAGTTCAATTTATGACTACCATGGGAGACACCATAAATGTATTCACTTTTACAGAGCAAACAGACATGCTTTTAACTTATGGCGAGGTACATAGAAACGGTGCTACTGCTGTTCTCAGATATCGTGAAAAATTTTCTAATCGAAGAATACCAAATCATAAAACGTTTGAGGCCATTAAAAGACGCCTTAGGAATATTGGCGCGCTAAAACCTATACGAGTAAATGCCGGTCGACAAAGATTTCGACGGACTGAAACGTTGAAGAAAAAATACTCGATGCTGTTCAGTTATCTCCTACTACTAGTACCAGAAGATTGTCACGTCATTTCGATGTTTCCTTTACCAGCGTATGGCGAACTTTACGCGAACAACAATTGTATCCATTTCACGTATCGAGTAGGCATGATTTGTTGTCACAAGATTATAACAAGCGTAAAATTTCTCTCAATGGTTAATTCGACAATGCACGCGAAATCCTAACTTCCTAAACTGCATTTGGTGAATCTTGCTTTACAAGAAACCGGATTGTTAATTTTCGAAATACCCATACTTGGGCTGAAGAAAACCCTGATACAACTGCTGTTGGACATTACAAACACACTTTTTCTTTAAATGTCTGGTGTGGTCTTCTAAGCGACAACATCATCGGCCCCTTCTTTTTGCCATCTAGGCTGTCAGGTATATCGTACTTGCATTTTTTGCAAAATAATCTTCATGAACTCCTCGAAGATACTCCACTAGGCATTAGACAAAGGCTGTGGTTTATGCATGACGGTGCTCCAGCTCACATTTCTAATAGTGTCATTGATTATTTAAATGCAACTTATGGAGACCGATGGATTGTTCGAAACGGACCTGTTAAATTGCCACCACGATCTCCGGATTTAACGCCATTACATTATTTTTTATGGGGCTGGATGAAGTCTATGGTTTATTCTGCGGCAGTTGGCAAGCAAGAAGAGCTAAGAAATCGGATCGTGGCAGCCGCAGTAACCATCAAGCACCATCCTGATGCTATACGAATAGCCAGAGAAGCATGGATTCGTCGTACTGAATGTAGCATTCAACAAAATGGAGATCCCTTTGAACAGTTACTCTAAATGTTGTAATAATAATAAATAAATAGTAATAATAAATCTTTAACCTTTGATATCTGTTTAATAAATGAGTTTGAGATATATGTTAACATGAACTTTTTTGTTTATTTTGTGTTAGTGAACACATACCTGAAATAGTGCCGTTGAATTACAAAATACCCTGTATATTAAATATTTAAATTAAAAAAAAATAAATATTAAATTTATCACTAAAATCCAATCGAAGCCTATTATAAAGTATGCAATAAATATATTATGTAGAAAATTACATAATAGTAATACCATATCAGTAAGGATATCTGTACTTTATTTTAATGTAAATTTGTAGCTAAAAAATGAGATATTTTAGCCAGCTTGATTCCCAACAGCTGTTGGTTGGTGTTCTTACCTGTTGCTTGTTGTGAGGCAGATGGAATGGAGGAACCTTTTAAAAGTAGTAAGAACTTATTGATTGTAAGTCGAACCCTAAATAACTTCAAGGCGATGGCTAGCGGCATTGTAAGTTGCGCAGTGGATAAACATTCCAGTTTTTAAACAGTTTAAAATAACATCTAACACCATTTAAACATGTTTATGGTGATAGGTGGAATGTTTATAGTGTTAAACACATTTATAGTGGAATGTGGATGCGCATAACCATCGATCTAGGCGGAAAAAAGTGAGGTCAAAAATTTAAATTAATGTTGTTATCACACGCTAAAAATATTTTATGACTTGCAATCTCTACAAACAGTAAAATGAGTAAACTTGTGTTCACGAGTGCAGCTCGTAAATAGCTTCTCCCACATCCCAACTATTGCCTCCATGTTTTTCCTACCTACCTATTGGAAATTCATGTTTAAGTGTAAACGGGTATAACAAAGGCAGTTAAGACCAAATATTTTTCATTATCAACTCAAATCTATCTAGTTAAACATTTATTTTATTTTTGGTCATACTTGATTTAGAAACACGTGGTCATCCCCAACGCTACCAAGAAATATTTGCTCGAGTTTGTTACTCAAAATATTTCTAGTTTTAAAATCTATTCCAACTTCTGCGTTTTTCCAGACTTTGTATTTTTTTCTGATTTGGTTGTTTTAATTATAAGAAGAACATTTTTTTTAAAGATTGGTTGAAATTACCAAAACAATATCGAAACGAAAGCTAAGTTTTACTTTCACAAAAAATGTCTTTTCAGAAAAAGTAGGAATAGAACCTCTGAGAGACCTCATGTTTGTATCGAAATTTCTGACAAGTGTAAAAGAATTTCCCTGTCATTTGTTTTTTTTCATTTTTACCCACTGGTTTTTCAAGCTTACCCAGCTTCTATAAAGTGGGTACCCTTAATTAAATAATAAATTGACGGGGAAACCCGGCGGTGATGGTGATCTCGGCCAAATCACCTGCTTGCACAACCGTCGACCAAGAAACATTACTTCCTTTCGAAGTCCTGAACTCAAGTATCTTCCTGGGTTGTATTGATACAGGTTTTTATTTTTATTTTTTTGGTTTTTCATTCACTAACAACGCAAAAATAATTGAATATCTCGATGTGGTCATAATAATACGTGTGTCGCCCAGGAATTAATATTTTATTAATTTATTTTATAAATACTAATATTCTTTTTCATAAATAACAAATTTTTAAACCTTAATACATTTTTTAAAATATAAACATTAAATTATATGTATCATCCTGCCTTTATATTACAAAATATAAAATTGATAATAAAACAATTTTTGAAGAAATAACTTCTATTTTAAATAATTTAAGATTTATTTATCTTATATGAAAATTCAGATTTTGGAAAATATGAGGTATTGGGAAGTTCACAATTTTCTTTTCTCACAGGCTTTCAATAAATTCTATAGAAGGATTAATTCTTCTTGAATGTTTATTGTGTTCAAATTGTCTTGCCCCTTTTAATAAAAACTTCATATTATATTATCTCTCGAGATTACCATTATTATTTTGAAAAATTTCGCTTGGATTTTGATTTACCAAAAATAATGGTAGTGTGTTTTGAAGCATCCGATCCTAAAAAAGTACGTACACACCAGACGAATCTTCGTAGAAAAACACTGAACAAAACATCAATAGGTTGTTAACCAAATGGTTACATTTAAATCTAAGATAGACTGACAACTGAAATAAAAAGGTTGGAATAGAAGAGAATTAGTTCTAACCGCCATGCCCGAACTAACTCCTTATCGACAAGATCACGAATGTATCGAGGTAAATATTTTTGTCACTTAGTGCAGCAGGCAACTTGTTTTTACACAATTTTGGCCCATTCTTCTAAAATGGCTCTTCTTGAGGAAATCCTTCGACAAGAGGATGAGTGCAGAGACGCCCTCGATGTCCGAGAACTTAGATCCTTTCAAACCTCAACCAATAATTCTTAACTAGCCAACCCTTACATCATATTTGGGCCTAGGAACTAGTCCTAGAAACCATGAATTGTCTTGGAGATGCATCTCAATTCTTAACTCATTAAATTTTCTAAAAAGCTAGACAGAACTTAACCGAACCAATACAATTTTTGTATTTGATTTTTACCAAAAACGGTTAGAGAAGTGGTGAACGGATTGCAGATTTTGATGCATAAATATTTTAAAATAATTAAGCATTGTGAATAATTTGCATCTTGAGGAAAGATGGTAAATCAGGGATGGATAATTGAGGTTTCATTGTAGCATACAAAACCGAATATTCAGTTGCGAATCTTGGAGATATTGCCTTAAAGTGGGACACTCCCGCAAAAGCGTTTCATATTTTTATAGATTATCTCATATAGATAATATTGGTATTAATGTTATTTCAACTAAATTAATCATTTTTATTAATTTAGGACACAAAAAGGGAATTTTAGTTATAAGACCTATGGGTCAGGCTTTGAAACTTCTTTAACAATTAACAATAAATGAATTGATTAATGATTTGGAACCAGTGACAGGGAGCAAAGAAAACAACAGATTTATTAAAAATAAAATTAAACAAAAGGTCCAGGGCATATGTGGAGATTATCTAATCTCTAAATAGATAACAAAACTATCAGCATGTTTTGGTCAGTTTATATCTCTTACTACTTTTTTTAATTTACTTTATTTTAGGTTGGTTACTCTGTCCTGTCAGTTGGGCTGGGCCCAAGCAATGTTTGGATACGCCTCATAGTTTAAATTTTTATATTTTTTATTAATATCCAAAATGTTTTTACCATTTAGATCTACCTTATTTATTTTATATTTTATATATGTGAACATAGGTAAATGATGTTTAGTTCTATTAAACTAAATACTGAGCTATAGTTTATTTTGATAACATTCCAGGTTATAACCACCTGTTTGTTTTGTGTTTTCATAGATATAATTAGTGGAGAGTGTTTAATACCTGCAATTTTACGTGGTGCCTGGTTTTCTTGGGAAAATGGCAAAAATACCTTAACTGAAATGGATGAAGAAACTAATTCAAGAAAAGGGATTTGTGTAGATATATTAAAGGAGTTCTCAACTAATTATACTGTAGTATTCAAAAGTACAGATAATTGCTATTATTGTGTTAAATTCATTGTCAGGACAGTGAATGTGTTGGAGAAGATTGAAAGTGAGATTTTTTTCTATGACATCTAAATGTTCCGATAATTTAAGTTGTCATTACAAGTAATTTGTTGTCCATAGTTTTTATACCGTTTAAAACTACATTTTTTGTTTGATTTAAATAAGCTTAAGAGATTCAACGGTGATGTCTATATTATGACAAATTCTCTCTACTTTTATTTGTGATATCAATATAAATTTTCTAATGTGAGTCATGTTTTCTTATTATTCAACCATGGTTTGTTCAATGATAAGGAACCATTTGCATAATCAGAAACGAGACCATTTATTGAATGTTTTGGTTTGTAGGTGGTTGTGTTACAATTGGACAAGGTGATGAGCCAACAGTACCTCGTATTTGCAGTCGAAATTTAGATCCTGATCAGCAACTTGTCACTCTATTTTCTGAAAATTATGTTCCAGTAAATTGTAGATCTAGCCTTGAAGGTGTTTGGAAGTTCAGTTATCAGGTATTTTAATCTTGATAATACTTAAGTTATTACTCCACAGGTCTAGTTCTACTGTGATGGTTGGTTGGCACAATATCTCCCAATAACCCTCTTAACGGAATCCCAAGTTGGTCCAAAAATAGACAGAGATGACCGAACAGTCTGATGAGATCCCAATCTCAACTGGAAAGGGCCTGCTGGGTTTTTTTTTTTGTCCCTTTTGAGTGTGTGGGAGTCGAAAGCAGCATTGTAAACAGAGGTAATAAAGGTCCCAATTTCAACTGATAAGGATTAGGTGTTTGTAAATGTCATAAATTGCAACCACTTCCAACTCGGTCATTCTCGGAATCCCATTTTAGCTTGATCATAAGATTTTGGCCTTCTATTGTTAATCACTCATTAATAGATGAATACAAGCACTCGTAATGTCTATTTTATAAAATCTATTTTGTTGATCTTTGAGAATATTTTTTATGCTTATAGAACCGTTTCCGCTTTACTGGTGTTTGTGAACATCCTGATGCGTACATTAAATCATGCCAGCAACCTGGAAACCAGTTTCTGATAACTAATCAGAAATTTAATATAACATACAAAAAATGTACCGGAATGGCTGGAACATTTGATGGAGGTAATTCTATAAATTTAGGAACCATGGCTTTGTTTTATATCTGAATATTTTATTCAAATATGTTCTTTATTAATACAACTACAAATATAATTTCAAAATTAATGTTTGTTTTAGTTGTTGAATATTCATGCCTTGGTGACTGGTTTGTTGGTAAAAATCATTTCTTTGCTGTTGCAAATACTAAAGAATCACGTAAAGATGAAAAATATCGATGTTTTCTAAAGAATAGAGATGATGATCTATACTTGGGAGTTTCAATTACAGCAGAATGTAATACGTTAAAGACTGTAGAACGTAGCCCTGAAAGATTAAAAGTAACTCCAGGTTGGTATAAATCATTTACTAGAATTTTTTTTTTTTTAATTTTCCAATTCATATTTTTTTGCATAGATTCTTTAGTTTTAAGTATGTGTACCTTTACAAAAAAAACTCAAATACACAAAAAAATGTTTTTCAATTTTCTTCCCTTATTTAAGATTTTTCTAAACATTATTCAACCATTTTTATAATTAAATATTAGATACCCTAAAGTTTTATTTTGTAAAAGTCCGAGTAAATTTACAGAAATTAAGGTTTGCTTCCTCTCCCCTCACCACTCCTTCCTCCCAATAATTTGATATTTTAAATCTAATTTAAATTGTTAATTTTTGCTAGTCTTGAGTTAATGTAATATTTTTTTAAATCTAGTCAAGGCTGAAGTAGTGGAACCTGGATGCAGACTACCTCAGAATTTTTCTGGAGAATGGATTAATACTGCTAACATTGATGCCGATGTTTCTATTAATGAAACACATATAATTGAAACATGGTATCCTGATGAAGGAAGATACAGGAAAACAATATACATCTGTCATCAACAGAGAGATACCAGGTTTATGATGGCTCGACTGACTGTTGATGGGTGGTACGTAATTTATTATTGAAAATATTCTAATATTATGAAATAAGGCTGTGTTTTATTTTTTCACCATATTTATTTCAATTTACATAGCTACGTTTCGGCCGGTAAGCCATCTATAAGATAAACACCATTAATTTTATATTTTGATGCAATTCTACACTCTATGACGGTGGTATTGGTCCAAACCATCCTTAATCAGTGAGCAGTATTTACAAAGATATAACAATATGCAACCTCCCAACCACACTTACAATTTAATCTGACTTTGGACTACATGCAAAAAGCATGTTGAATAAACTAAGGATGTTTTAAAATTTAAAATAATTTATGTTTGTTGATCTTATCTTGATATATCTCGATTTGAATAAAAAAGCAACCTCATTCTATCTAGTGGTATTGTTAATTTACAAATTAACTAGTATCATTAATTACAAATTTAAAAAATTGACTTAACCTAATTAGGGTTATAATTTATAGAATATTATATAAATTAAATAGGGCCAATACCACCGTCATAGAGTATAGAATTGCATAAAAATATAAAATTAATGATGTTTATCTTATAGATGGCTTACCGGCCGAAACGTAGCTATGTAAATTGAAATAAAACACAGCCTTATTTAATAATATTTAAAAAAAAATTCACTTAAAACAAGTACATGTGGAAAATTTTCTATTTCTATGTCTTAAAATTTTTCTAGTACAACTAGATTTTCCTTTAATTTTCAATAAGATATTTTATTTTAAAGTAACTGATTGAGATAATATTTAATAAGTAATGTTTCTAAGTTAAGTAACAAAAGTTAAAACTATAAGACCAATACAACTACAAGGCTTGGTTATAATACTGGAGTAGAGGCTTATGCATTTGCATATTTTAAAACATAGCTATTTATCGAAAACAAAGATATACAAGAACGATTGATAGATATGAAAGCATATAGAAACATAATTAGGCTAGAAAAAAAAAAATCTTGCTACTGAATTAAATTGTGTATGTTGAAGGAAATTAAAGTTCTGCCAATGATTCTATCATGAAACAGAACAGTACTGGAGGACATTTCATCTTTTGTCGAGGAACTGAACCCAATTAAGATAGATAAAATTCATTGCCCATCAGTACCAAATAGCCAAGTTACAGAGTACCGGAGAGAGATCCATTACTGTTTGTACGTGTTGAATTAATATTATGTTATTTTAATAGTAAACGTTCAAGTCTATGGCTCTCTCATTGTTGGTCAAAATGTTCAAAAGCAAGAGCTTTTTTGTATGCCTTAGAGAAACTTAAGATGTTCCATTGATCTTTTTTTACTATTTATATGCTGACAAGAATAAATTGAGTAACATGAATGATGAAATCAATATTAATTAAACATAAAATGTGGTACTTTTGTTGATTGTTTGTATTATAGTAAGAGGCTTGCTAAAGAAACTTATAAATATCAAAAAAAGGTGGCTCATCCAGCTTAGAAAAATCATGGTTGCGACCGACCTGGAAAAATGGGAGAAGTCAGGGATGTTTTTTGTACATAAATTTTTTTTTAAAAATAGAAATAAATATACAGTGGATATCTTTGTAATGCTCTTGAAGAAGTAAACTTCATCGTTACAAGGGACCACAGTCGCTATATTCATCCATCTTTGATTGCCAATAACGGCACTGGTCGTTATATTGTAATCACACAAGGGTAATAACAAGGGAGTTAGGTTAGGTTTAGGCCTAAATTTGACACCTCACTTGGAATATCTGACAGGTAGGGTGGCCATAGCAATGAACTGTCTAACTCGCGTGGGGGGGGGGCCTTAGGGGTGTCGAGCCACAATCACGATATATAAAGGTGTTGTGGAGGGTATCCTGAGGTATGCGTCTCCCTTCTGGTTCCGTAACCTCACACAACGACAAAAAAAAAGGCTAGCCTCGACTCAGATGACAGCTCTGCTTCGGGTCACCAGAGCATACAGGACAACTTTGCATGAAGCGGTGCAGGTCCTAGTGGGGGTGGTGCCTCTCGACCTCCTCCTACTAGAAAAAGTGAAAAAATATTCTTATAAGATGGAAGGCTCCACAGTACTTTCGTACAATCTGCAGGTGAGGATTATAGAAGCGCCTAATAGATGGAAGAAGATACTCCGGGAGGATACAATTGAAGTATGGAACCGGCGGTGAGTAGCAACTCCTAAAGGAAGTACTTTCCCACAGTACAGTCGAGGCCTCAGGTAAAGTGGGTCCTCCCGGACTACTGGATTTCCCAGTTCCTCACTGGGCATGGATGATTTCGAGCTAAACTTCATGGTCTGGGCATTGATGTAGATCCTCTATGCTCAATCTGTAGTTTTCCGGAAACTGTAGAGCACGTGGTCACGACCTGCATCGCATTTGAAACTATAAGAGCCGCGGGAATCTATATCCTCACTGAAAATAAGTTTCCTCAGTTAGTCAGCGAGGAAAATTTCCTGCGGTTTAAGGATTTCATATATGGATGGAAGACGGCGGTGGGACCCGCTCACTTCCATATTGGTGCCCGCAGAAGAAGAGGACAAGCGCCAGGAAGACCTCCAGATTCTGGAAGCTAGGGCGAAACAGAAGAAGAAAGAACAGAACTGCACATCATACATTTCATGTTAACTAGTTGTAGTGTGTTATTAAGCATTCATGCCTAATAACACATTATCGCAAACATCCGTATTGCCATAGTGGCATGGGAGGGTGGAATATATAAATAAATAATCAAACGGGTAATGAATAAAATTTAAGCAAATTGGACTCAAAAAACTGTTTTGTTTTTTTAAGAGGGAAAAAACAGGATTTTTTTTTTATTTATGAGTTCATTCAATATGAAGTTTTCCTCAACCAAATTCCATCTTTAGCAAGTCTCTCCATCTCGGTCGGTCCATTTTATCCTCCTCCGACAGTACTTTCCATACCATCCGTACTTTCCACCACTCTATCCTTCCATCTAATAGGGAGTCTACCTCTCCTTCTTCTATCCTCTGCCTCCCAATCCATAATTATCTTTGGTATCCTATTGCCGCCCATTCATCTCACATGCCATACCACCATACATACCAATAATATTTACTGTTTGTAATATGTACATCTATTGGCATATATATATATATATATATATATATATATATATATACATATATACATATATACATATATATATTTTAATTAAATAATAAACTTCTTAACGGTAATTCTGTCTATCGATTAATGTCCATTAGAACATTTTTCGATCTTAAAGTTTAGAGTCCAGTCGAGCATTAACTTTTTAAAAATTTGCGTTTCATAGTATTGAATATGTTAGCATCATGATAATCCTCACGAAATGTCGGCTAAACTTAATTTCATTCTTTGGTTAACTGAAAGAGAATTCTGGAAGCTTCACAGGTAATTTGTTTAAAGACAGTATTGTGTTGGGAAAAAAATCTTTGTGTCTATCCTCAAAAAATATTAGTTTGGGTTCATCAAATGGTTCGCGAATTGATTTTAAATATTTGTTAGTCTTTTCAAGTAAAATCTGCCTTTACCATGATAGCGGAATATTGAAAAGAACCGATTTCGTCATTATTTATTATACGTTTCTTTCATGTATAATAAATAAATTTAGTTATAAATTATACATTTTTAATATTGGTGTCTCCTGACATATTGGTCAGAGGAAACTATCATGAAATAGGGACATGTCAGGAAATTTTACTTTAACTATCTGGTAGCCATCCTGAAAATATATAAAAATAAGTATAAATATTTTTCGAACAGTTCTCAATTAATTTAATAACAAAATGCAGTCAAAAGTAACATATAGTTATTCTAAAATCAACAATGTACTTGAACTTACTCTGAGATACCAATCCATAAATGTAAAATTTAACAATACGATTTCACTTCAATAATTTATGTATATTATTTATACTTCAAGATCATATATTTACTACAGTGTATTTTCTTTATTTTAATATTAGGGTTAGACAACTTAGTAAATTCATTTATTTTTAATTGTCATTTAATTATTCATAATTGCCAGAATATTGTCATTTTGTTGTTCATTATAATTATTATTAGGGGACTAAATGTCCCAGAATAAAATTCACTTTCTTTATTTCTATAATTTTAATATTATGTATTAAATATAATTTATTGATTTATTTTGTATCTGTGACAGCCAGAAAGATTACATTTGTTTTGATTTTGTTCCTCGTCATCACAACGTTGTACGATATAGAAAAACAATAGCAGTCATTAAAGATGACTTTTCCACAGTATGTTCGTGGGTTCAATTTAAAAATAAAGAAGCTTGGAAATATGATTTGTTCCTTGGTAGGTTATTAATTTCATAAGCATTTTAGTATTTTATGTTTAGATTTGTTTACTATGAGTAATTCTTTTAAATAGTTTAGAAGTAGCATAATTTTAATATTATTAGTGCACAATATCAATAAGTTGAAAACTGGAAACAAATAAAAAAGAATTACTACACTTTTAAGTAGCATTCAGAAGAAAAGTGTTTTCATTTAAGATCATGGGATTTTTTTTTTCAAATCCTAATTATTTGGTATTCATAAATCTGAAATTAGTTACAAATAAATGGATTTAAATTATTAAATTTCTACTGCATCTTATTGTTTTATAGGTTCATTTAACACAGAATAAAAAAATAAAAAAATTAGTACTATTTTTTACTTATTTTAGTGTAGAAAACTTATGATTTCTCCATATTTTAAGATCTGTTATGGTAAAGGTCATTTTCTATAAAAAAAAAGTTTGAAATTTATGTTGTTTTTTTAATCAGCTGCTGTGCCAGTTCCTGTTCGATGCCCTGTTGCTGGAAAGTTCAACTTTACCCAAAGAGGAGACATACCATTTGAAACAAGAATATTGGGAGGTGTGACTCTCTCCCCACGTCCTTTCATCTACTGTAAACAGAATATATCTGATTTTTCTGTCTGTGACACAGAACAAAAAGAAATTTTTATTGATGAAAATTACTGCCTTTCAGTTGATCATCTTGGACGACCATTAGATATTTACAGTATGTAGTTTTCCTTCTTTGTTTCATGAAAATTGATCTTTATTTAATCTATTAGAATTAAAATTCAGTTATTTCTTACTTATGCCTTAGATGTAATACAATTTTCTTAATTAGTTTGTAATTGACAGGTGATCCTGATTACAAAATGAAATGTATTGGTTTTTGGAAAGAAAACCTTAAATCTTACCTCATTACATATGATGAACTTGATCCTTATTCAAAATACCGCTGTTGGGTGAGTTATTTTAATGAAAAAATGTGATAGTTTGTTAAAAAGAAATTAAAATTTTTATATGAAATCTATTAGATAGTGATTATCTCTTAGGCAATAATAAAGACTAAATGTGTGTTAAAATTATTTGTTGTTAATTATATCATTATATTTTTTTCCTATAATAAATATCAATTATTAAGATTGCAACATTCAGGTATATCAACGGGCGGACTTAAACAGAGTGTTGATGTCACAAGCTGTTGGTCCCATATGTGATTTGAAGCAAGATGTTACTTCATGGAACTTTACTGAAGGAGCTGCTGTGGCAGTTGATATGACTGAATATGAAAGAGAAAGTAAGATTTTTGCATTTTTGTTGCTTGCTATTGAAATATTTTATTAATTTATTTTATGGTTTATCTGTTTATATATATGTGTATATGTGTGCTTTAAATAAAAGTCATCCAGATAGCAAGGCCCTTTACACAGTCCATATTGAATTTCATCAATATATCTATTAACCACATAAGGAATTCAAATTGGCTAATATCAAGCATGTAAGGGGTGTCATTGAAGAAAACTTCAATTACAAACATGTGTGTGTGTGTTTTACATAATTGTATCCTCAGTTCTTTTATCAATGAGAAAAGAGTATTTGTGATGGTTAACAGTTTGATTATTTGAAGAGGTTCATCCTGTTTTGGCCAAACAGTCTGTCTTTTTAATCCACGTTTGTTGATGAATTTTATGAGATAATTCTACAAAAAAATATTTATTTAACTTCACTTGTACACCTGTATTTAAAAAAGTGCCCACATTTTGTTTTTCTGCCTTGTTTTAGTGTAATATTATTGGGCTACATATTAATACTTTTTGCTTCCAAAAATGAATAAAAAGGACATGAGTGGGCTCAAGGAAGGGGAAACTCAATGTACTTTTTATGGGCATCAATAAACATTTCCCTAGGAGTAAAAAAAAGTTGAGTTAAAAAAAAAAACTTACTTAACGAGAAATCTTAGTTAATTAAAAAATTTTCATTGGTCCTTTCAACTTCAATTATACCAGTTCTACTTTATCTGAATGCTATATTTGTAATATTTTTGGACTATATTTGGAAGCTTTTATAGAATAGAATAGAAAAATAATTTTATTCTGGGACACAGTCCCTTAAGAATAACAAAATAAAAAGATTACATCTGGCCAAAATAAAATCAATCGAAAAAAAGAAATAATGTAAAGAAAATATAAGGTAACCATTCTATATACAAAACAAATGAAACTATATACAAAACAATTAATACTATGACAAGACACTTAAAGCTATTTGCACTGATAGTATACACTCTTAAGAAAATAATAAAGAATTAAAAAATAAAATATTTTTATAAATTTATAAGCAAAATATTTAAAAAAGGAGGTTATATAAATATTTAATTGGATGAAAATCTGAACCCTGGTGGTAATAATTATCTGACCAGTAATTTTAGCATCTAATTTAACTCTATTATAGTGCTACCAAAGAGCAGTTTCTCAAAAAGTCGTTTTGTGCAGTTGTATTTCTCTGTATCACATTTACTAGATATATTATACAGTTGTAAATTTCACGAATTAAAAAAAAAAACTTATCCGTATCTTTTACTTAATATATTTTTTACTTTGGCTTACTTATATATAAAGTATACAATTATGAAAACTATTGCAATTGTTGAAAATTTCAAATCCTGCTTTTCAAGAGGAATACACATTTTGAAGTTATAGAAAAAAACAAGTTAGGCAAATTTGTGTGTGTTCGTGTGCGTTCTTGTGTTGAAGAACCCAAAAAGCACCAAAATCGGGTAACCAGGAATGAGTGGCACTATATATCATCAAATTTAAAAAAAAAATCTAACTAATACCTATTTATACTCATAGTAGAATGGTAAATGAAATTTGTGAGATGGGTCCTTTACAATAGATCATACTAATACTCAATATTTTTTTTTTTTTATAGGAGATCAGTGTCCAATGTACTTTGATGATGGCGCCAATCCCTGGCTTCACTCAGAAAACTATATAAAAATATTTCACTTTGGTACCTCATCGGGAAAAAGGTTAGAAAAAGAGTTAGAAGTTGTTTTACCATTTTTACTGATCGTTTTTTTGTTTAATCAATTGTCGTAACTAAATTGAATCTCGATTATATTTTTAAGTAATATTTTAGTTCATGAAATGTTTTACTAATAACTTCATGCCAAAATTATTTTTGATATTATCTGTTTAGAGGTGTTTAATGAGATCACAATATTTTTATTAAGTTTTAGGTTAATGATAGTTTTTTAAAACTTATATCTCTGTCATCATGAAAATTAAAATATTGGCTAAAAAATACTGTACACGTGTTACTCTAATGTGACGACTGGTCCGAGATCTCATGATCATGCTATAAACTAGGATTCCGAGAATAGCTGAGGATTGACAACATGTTCAGTATAATCTCCCTTTATTTAGATCGCGATTCATGACTTCTGCATACTCGCAGCTGGTCACTTTCAGTTAAAATTGGGACATTAATTAGCTTTAATTGCATTGCTACTTTCGATTCCCGTTCACTTTAAAGGAAGTAACAAATTCCTTTTCATTTGAGGTCAGGACCTTACCAGACAATTTGGTCACTTCTACTTTTGAAAACACTCGGGATTCCATTTATGGTTTGATGATTGATTCTTGTGCCACCTATCAAAGTGGAGTGACACTTGCACAGTAATACCTTGGTCTTATTTAATATAATTTTATAGAGGTACAGACTGTATTGTTTTGACGATCTGCTTATGATGTAGTGATGTTAGAGTTTATTCATTTATAGGAATTGAAAAAAAGGACAAAAAAATGAAAATTTAATGTTTGTCTATCTTATAAGTTCTTATATTGGTTGTTTAGCTTTATTAAAAATTATATTCCAGTTTTTGTATTAATGTTTTCTTTTGTTATTTATAATTTATATATTTTTAACAAATATATTAGGAATAGAATATAACACTTTAAAAAATATCTTTGTATCGGTAGTGTGTTGTAGTGGATTAAAAATAAAATGTTTCATGATCTAGAAGGTTAGGTTTATTCTAGATTTTTAAATGGGTAATCAATTACCCCCTGTAATCTCATGCTTCTTTAAAAAATATTTTTCTTTAATAAATATAAAATACGAGAGTATAGAAATCAGAAAGCAAGTTGTGATGAATTTTTTTTCTCAAAAATTAATATTTAAAACTAATTTGGTCAATATTTTATTTTTAATTAGTAGTTTAAGCCATCCATTAAATTTATTTAATATAATAGGAACAGTTTGTGTTTTAATGAGACTGTTGATGAGCCTTAGCTTTTTTTTATGTCTAGAAGTGAAAGATGATTTGCTAAATTTGTGTCATGAATTAGCTCTTATATTTTTCTTTGCACCAAAACTAAAAGGGTAAATTAATAACTCGTATTGAATACTTGATTTTCAAGCGTGGATATATCTTTCTACAATTAGGAATTAAGGTTCATGCATGTAGTAATATAAAATAAATTTACTTATTTATACATTGAAATATGGGATTCTTAAAACACAATTGAGGCAATGTTTAAAAGGAGAGATTATAAATTATTTATCCTTTTTATAACCCATCTTTATAAAGTTTCACAAAATTTTTTCTATAAAGCTCACCAAGTTTAAATTTGTAATTCGATCAGTATCACCATATTTATGTCCTGGGATGAGCTTCATCCACGAGTAAGTCATTTCTAAATGTAGCTGTTTTATTGAATTGAATTTTCATTATTATAAGTCTATGTTTTTAATTGTTAAATATTCTAAAACAAAAACATATTTAAAAAATATGACGTTTTCGTACATGAAATAAGAGTTTTTTGTTTTGGTTATCAAATGCAATAATGAATGATCTGATTAAGTAAATAATGAAAAAACAACCAGGTTGTTACGGTGGATGATCTATAGTCTAGAAATAATTTAATATTCTTTGTACCTAATAAGACAGATTTGTGATATTCATCAGAATACTGATGTGATGCCTTCAACAAAATAAGAAAAATTTTATCTACAATTCGTACATTTTGTAAATAAGATTTATTCATCAAAGCTTTAAAATGTAACATTAGTCCGTCCTGTATATTACACTAAATGTATATTTTCAAAATCTCTTAGTATGTACATATTTTTCTTTATTTAATTATATATAAAATAATATTCCATTTTTATAACCATTTGTTTGTTTAGAATTAATGTTTTTTTTTTTTTTAATACTTTGCAACATTTGTATGAATTACAAATAAATTTATTGTAAAAAAAAGTTTAATAAAAACTATTTTGGTTAATTTTGTTATATAGTTTAACAATGATATACAATCAAGATAGATTTCCCATGACATTCATATTCAGTAACTGAGAACTGTTATGCAAAAACCCATTAATTTTTTTTAGAGCAATTGCCTGATAACCTGTTCCCCTTAAACTAATTTATTATGAAACCTCAATGGATAATGCTGAAAATGAACAGGCTAATACTTGTGCAAAACATACATTGCCTGGTATAAACCAAAGTTCAAAAGATAAAATAATTACGAGTTCACATTCGGGTGGCATGGGACTTTTAACTCTGCCATTAATCCCCTTTCCTCTGCCCCAGAAAAATTCTCATTTTTTATTCAGTCATCTGTAATATAAAAAAAAAATGGCTTTCAGCATAACAGAGCTCTTTTGTTTTATATATTTTAATATCATTCAAATGTTTATAGCTAATTCTGTTTTTTATTAATAGAAATGCTCTTCTAACTACAAAAATTGCAATTATTAATTTTAAAACTTCTAATTTGGTTTATTTATTTTTCAGATAATTTTTTATAAATCAGAACTCAGTACTTTAAGTTAAACTGTTTCACTTCTGTTATTCAATGTATAAAATTGGGTTACTAAAGATTGTTATGCATTAGTTATCATTTTCATGTTTTTTATCTCTCTAATATGTACAAATTATGTTAATATTTTTTATATGTACAATTTTTCTTTATAAAAATAAAATATTGTGTTATATATTGCTATATCCAACCCCACATGCCTTTATTAATTACTAACTTATTTAATAAAAATTATAGACTAATTTATCATTGACTAATCTAGAAATAAAAAATTCTCTGAAGAAGAGAGCTGAAGTGATGGAAGTGTATTTATAATATTTAGCGGGCAACCAAATAGTTAATTAAATAAATGACACACTCATATCACCCGTTTCCTAATCTTATTGGTTAAAGCTTGTAGACAAAGTTTCCATTGAAATTAATGACGAACCTATGAAGCTATTAGATGTAAGTTCAATTCCTTCGTAGCTTTTCTTTTTTGTTGTTCTCTAATGGCAAGGACTGGATGGTCCCTGCAGCCTGCAGCTCAAGTTGCTATCAATTCATTCCTTTTTTTTTTTTTAATTTATTGTGGTACAAGCTTGTTTATACCGTTGCTGTTCATTATTATCAATTAGGAACTATGAAAATTAAAAATAAAGAAAAAGTCTCATTTACAAATATTTAAAATCTATTAAAAATATTCTCTATCAATTAGTAGAGTTGTACATTTTCTAATAAACACAATAAATCTTATATTATTATAAATGAGCCATAGATACAATTATAATTGGTTGTTCTGAAATTGAGACAATATACAAAGATTTTTATAAATCTAGTCCTTGAGGAAACTATTCTTTGCTTGGTAGGAGTGTCCCGCAGTCGGACAAGTCAGGCAACATCGACGAATATCTTAAATTTCTATTTAACTTTCTCACTAAATTAATTGATTTAATTAGGTACTACAAACTCATAAATACCCATTCGCTTTTCATTTGAATCACTTGATAATTTGACTACAAAATCGAAACAAAGGTTTCCTAAAAAAATATTGGTCTGTTGGTCTTATAGAACTTTGTTATTTTGACATGTTGGGAGTAGATGTCACGCCAAACGGCCCAATATTTTGTAGGCCACCTATTCTGGATTTTGTGATCAAATTATCTTACCATTCGAACAGAAAGCAAATGTGTGTCTATAAGTTTTTAATATCTAATTAAATAAACAAAGTTTACGTTATAAATAAAGTTCAATTTACAGATTGAAAACGCCCCAATTCCGAGAATTTTCATTAATAAAAAAAGTTGTAGGTCGCAATATGATGAAGCTATTCACGAAGTTTTAGCGGATGTTAATGATACTTAATTCAATCAATAAAATGAATTTATAGGAGGTGATGTTTTTTTTTCTAATATATTACCAAAAATAACTTTACTGAGAGGAAGGGAGCAGTTTAAAGGAAGGGAAGAAAAAATAATATTGCACCTCTTTGTTCCGGGATTCTCATCTACAACTTTGAATTTTACAAAAACTTGTGGTAATATTTTTTTTGGAAATGAAAATAATTTAGTTTAGGTACAATTTTGGTACAAAAAATAAAATTATAGTGTAAAGATCGCTTTATCATCATTAGCATGAGATGGGTCCTGTTCGGGAGGTGATGAGGCTGGTAAAGGGGCGACTAATACATCGATGATTAGTAATCTGGACCTGTTGGCCATGTCCTGGTCAGCCGGAGTGCCTTTGTCGGCCGTCCATATTGTAATATTGGGGCTGGTAGTATCTGAGGCTAACAAAGGGTTACCTCTGGCTAGTCAACCAGGTTAAATAACTGTACATTTAATGAATCAGCTTCTATTTTATGTTACATTGTTAAAAATAATTAAATAGTTACTTTGCAGTTCATGCAATAATCAGAAATTAGAAGCAATCTTAATGCCAAGTCATTTCGTTTTTTTTCATCGTAAATGCATCACGACCTCATTGAGGCCTATTGTGCTCCGCCCTACAGGTATTATGTTGAAAAATATTTTCAATTAACAAAGAAGAACCTCTTTTGATTAACAAGAATTAATTAATTAACAATTAAAAATAAAGAATTAACAAAGAAAGAGTGTCTCAACAGAAACACAAAACTGATTTTAATATAGAATTTAATATATTTTTATTTTTTAATTCTTTACACCGACACCACCAATCGCTTATTACACACCTCCCTTCACTGTTCCTTGTCCAAACCCAGTCTATTTAGATCGGCTTTAACGCAATCTTCCCTTCGGACGATTAGCATTCGGTACAGAAAATAGGAAATCTTTCGTTACTAATTCCAACAATTTTACAAGCCCCTTTGATTCGCCCCGGTGGTCACCTTAATTATCTTAACCGGATACATTTTACTCAATTCGAAGTTGTGTTCTTCGGTCCGAATATTCTACGTGGTACTTCATTTTCAAAAACCTTAAGACGTTGCTCATCCCATAATGAAAGCGGTCACGTTTAGCATCCATTAAGAACTGTTCGTGAGATAATAGTTTTATAGATTCTAGTTTTTAAGTTTCGGGACAAGAGGCGCGATTTAAGTAGTTTTGTCACAGACAAATAACAAACATTTCCCGCCTTCAGCCTAACCTTAATCTCTTCTTCTATTTCGTTGTTTCTATTTATCGTAGGCCCTAGGTGCCCAAACTTCCCTAGGTGTTCAAACATATTACCTTCTATATCGACATCACCAGCAATATCGCAATTTTTGCAGCTAACCATATATTTTGTCTGATCCGTGTTTATTTCGAGCCCTAGTTCTTTACCGGCTTTCATGATCGTTGTCGTATCTGGTTTTATAGTTTCCGTCTCTTCTCTTAACAGTACCGGATCATCAGCATAGCCCAGCACGGGTGTTGTCCCACCCAGAACCAACACTTTTTCGGTACGCATTACCCCCTAATGACAGGTTCTAATGCCAAATTGAATAGGACAGGCGAGAGAGAATCACCTTGTTTTAAACCCGAACGAACGTCAAATTTTTAGGATAAATAATTACCTATTCTAACTTTATTAATACTTTCCGTCAAGCACATCTTCACTAGATTTACTAATTTTTTTTTATATTATAATATTTAGAGTCTGCTATGTACAGTAAAGGACTCTTTTCTAGCTCTAAGTAGCGAAGGATTTTGAAAAACGAGGTGGCATATGAAACCGAATTTCATGAAGAAATAACGAAACCCGATTTTACGAGTTTCCAAGCTGCAAGATCATTCGTTATTTGCCACAATTTTTGATAAATTTGGTAAAAATCGGCGTTCGTTAACCATTGGTCCAATACCACTTAACCAAATTATGAAGTTTAGGTACTCGTTCGAATCAAAATTCAATGCTCCTTAATTTCTTAAAGACGTTTTTCACTTCAACGCACTATTCAGGAGTTGAGGTGAAAAATAAAAAATAAATCGATCCTCAATTTACTGATCTGATATGCTTTAAATCAGCTGCTCTTTTTTGTAGCCACATATGGCTCCAATAACGAAATACAGAAAATGCCCAAGGAGCAGAACAAGCTCAAGGAAAAAAAGTATACAAACAAAAAATAAATAAATAACTGATAGAATTAAGAAGAAACTGCAAAGATTAATAGTAAGTTTGTCTTTCACAATGTTCACAATCAGAATGCTTTGTAGAAATACAAGAGTTTTTGCACGCAAAAAGATTTCAGCAATTAATGGTTATTAAAAAGATATTGCACCCCAATAAACAAATGCATTCAGAATCATAACTCTAATAAATGTTTGTATTAGCCAATATATTTTTTTTTCAAAAGATAACAAAAGGACAAAAGATGGGAATCATATTAACACAGTAAACTATGTTGTGATAATGATATTTATTGATTATTTATTAGATTGAACAACTTTTTTACACAATAGGAATTATTATTCTATGTTATCACTTTTTAATGCTTGTTTTCTAATTAAACTAAGAAAGATTTTTTTTTATTATATAACTTTTGCGAGATCTGATCGTCAGTGGACGGTGAGGAATGATATAATTATTACATACACTGGTTCAAAAAACTTTTCAGCACTCACTTGATCATTTTTGTAATAAATTATAATGATTAAAACAAAAAATTAATCTTAAAAATATGAATAGGCTTACAAAACAATTATAGGTATACTTTGAATACCAACATAAACTTAAAATCCGGACAATAAATAAATTTAGGAAATCAGTAATTTATTACAAATAAGTAAAAAAATATAACAGTTTAAGTAACATTATATTATTCTGTTATTACGTGTATATGTCTAAATAACACTAAACTATTATTACAGTTTTACTTTACATTTCTACCATGTATTATCTTTCACTTACTTATTCTTCATAAATAAATAACGCTTCACCGATTTAATTTGTTGTTTTGTTTTAATAGGGTTACATGATGGTATTTTAATTAAAAATTTGAGGTATGGGTGGAACACGATATTCAATAAAACTTTTTCTTTTTTTTTTATCTTTATGACAAAAATAATGTTTCCTATCTAGCTGCTATCTCTAACACTAAGGTGGCTAGAATGACTAGAAGGGAACATTAAAAAATTTGTTCAAATTTCCTTTTCCAATAAAATTTTTAGATTTCCCATGTTTGTTTCTTAGCAACCATTTGAGAATTGTCAAAATAAACCTGGCGATGGTATTTTACCTCGTGCGGTGCCAGAGGGAGTCTTCCTCCAGTTCGTTTAATGACCCTGATATATTTCAACGTTGACATGTGGATAGTTTTATGAAAATACACATCTTCACTAGGCATCATACTGACCTCTGGCATATGTTTATGGAGATGTTGATATTTTCTAATGTTCTGAGAATACTGCAAACCTTTGCCTCTGACAGAACTGTGCGTGGAATGGTACATATCGTATGTTGGGAGACTGTCGTAGCCGAGATCCACTGATTGAGTTGATTTTTGGCTCAGGTAAGACTCTGTTCCTTGATAATTCACCTTCGTAACCAATGGAGGAGGACTTAGTGAATGATCTTTTCCACTTTGCGGAGGGTATGGTAGCCTCCTCTTTAAAGAATGGTGCTGAGTTTCGACAACTTTCGGTCTAGCAATAGGGAACTGACGAAATCGTAATGAGTTTTTAAGCTTTAGCTTCGGGTATTTCTCTTGAATATACGTTTTCCTTGAAGAGCTTGTTCTATGAAATGAAACATTTTTTTTCGAACAGCTATGAACTGTGTTCAGAATTTCAATGCTTGAACTGCTCTGAGGGGCCCAGGAGGTGTCTTGCTGATAACTATTTACTTCATAAAACCGAAAATCTGGATCACTAACAGAGAGCCTATTACGGTGCCTTGGTGAATTTGGTTGGGTCGGTTTAAGTTTCAATGTTCTCTTGAAGTAATGCTGCAAATGATATATTTCGTGCAAGGAGTGCGTGGATGGTGTCGGGCTGGAAGGAATACTTTCTTCACTCGTGCAATCATCACGAATCTCCTCTTGTGAACTGTGTATCTTGAACCATTCATTGTGTGATTCTTTATCATGCGTAACCAACGAAAGATTTTGTGAGGACTTCCATTTCTTGATCGAATCTTGATCAGTATTCCATGGCGTAGCAATATCTTCAAATGTTTTAGGATTAAGTTCAAGCTCTTCCAAATGGTCTTGGGATGAAACGGAGCTCACATCAATATTAGACCAAGATCTAAGTGAAGGTAATCGCAGATCTCTAAGCCATTGTTGAATACGCGCAGCTTTTGACTCCATTTCGACGGAATAAGGTGGCAGAGTTATGTAAATTTACAAAGCCTTGAAACTCATCTAGGTTCTACTGAAACTACTGACAACTATCCTTCCTTTTCATCTTCTATTACTGCCAACACCCAGAGTTAATTGAGATCAAATCTGCAACAAAACACATGTTATTCAATAATGCAATGCTCCTGTTGAAATTTTAAAGAAACGAAAATTCTAAAATCTATTTATTAATGTTATTAATATACTCGACAGTCCTTAACGGACCTAGGCTTCAGAAACAAGCTTCCGTCAGGTTTCCCTATCGGCAACTATTCTTCTCCATCTTCTTATACCACGGCTGAGGTCTTCTACGTCGTCGATCCATCGCAGCCAGGTTCTTCCTCTAAGGCGCGCCCTTCCTGGGCGGTTATAGAGAAGTTTTCTTGGCAATCTATCCTCTCTACATGGCCAAGCATTCTGAGGCGAAATCTAAATCAAGTGAATCCGTAAGAATGTATCATTTCAACAATTATAACGTCCAAAAAGTGAAACGTTTGATAAAGTGGAGCAAGTATTACAGTCAGCATTAAAAACATAAACAAATCACAATATTAATTATGTGTTTTGAAAATTACATTTCTTTAAACGTAAGAATTATCCATCATGTTTTTAATTTTAACAAACATTTTGAAACGGAATTGGAGAGAAATCAGGTTTATAAATTTTAAATATTCCAGAAAGAACACTCTTCGAAAATCGAAAATTTATAGAAGTACATTACTTTATTATTTTTTGATAAATGGTTAAAATTTTATCGATCAGAGGTTGTTAGTTTTTAGTTAGAAATTTATAAATGTAGCTATTTTTATTTTCTAAAATAAGATATTTTGAATTTTAAATGTTTCAGAAAGGAAACATTTTTAATATCTTAAATATGAATATAACATTCTAATATTATGTTGAAAAAGTTGTCAAAATTTCATCACTGAGACAATTTTTTTTAATTAGAAAATTTTAAATGTACCTTAAATTTGAAGAAGTACTATTAAGTGTATGTGTATGTCTGGGATGTAACAAAAACGTTTTTTATTTTTTTTATCTAACCGAAAGTGCCACTTTATATCGATTTTATACATTGTTTCAATTTCTTTTGAAACGTCTGTAACGATTATGATTAAACTAGGTATATCAATGTATAATCAAATGGCCTTTAATATCAGCTGAGTCACTTAATAGGGTTTAAATGTTCCAAATTTCTTTCTATTAAGTAACTTTAATTTGGTTTATTTCAAATAAATAACTTTCTCTCAGCGTCAGAAGCTATAAGAATTTGATAATTGACTAAAGATGGAAAATATGACAAACGCTGTTACTGGTTGAAAATTAATTTACGGAAATAATAGTCAGAATATATATATATATATATATATATATATATATATATATATATATATATATATATATATATATATATATATATATATATATATATATCGTCGAAAAGCTTAAGTTTTTAGAAAAATAACATCTTACATAAAAAGTGACAGAAGGTGATGGAGAGTGACGAAAAAAAAATAAAAATTCCGTAAACCAATATTATTTAACGGAAACCAATTGTTTTAATGGAACTTAAATAAAATTTGCAGAGTATTTGTAAACTTTTAAAATTTTACACATATTAAGAGTTTATATGCAAGTTCTATAACAGTTGTTGTGGGATGTAAGTCGACCAAAGCTCGTAGAACATGGTCATCAAGGAAAGAATTCTTCCATGGCCATCTTTATCTTCAAGGATGAAGTCTTCCTCTTGAGATTTTTTTGAACCATTGTTAAACGGTGTACTTAGTCACACTGCCATCGATTTAGACTTCATTAATGTTCTTTGCTGTTTGGGTCCCGTTCCAATCAAATTTTAACTAGGGAAACGAAATTATGGAAAATTACACTTTGGCATCTTAGTAAAAACTCAATTATTTCCAACTTGTTGTTTTAATTATCTTGTATATTACTTTATCTTTTTATTTATATATATATATATATATATATATATATATATATATATTTTTTTTTTTTTTTTTCCTTTCTTATGTACATATTGTGTGAATGAATACTATAGCCCTAGTACCAATGCTCTTCAGTGTGGCAGACTGTATTAATACTCAATAAAAGTTTAAAAATATCAGATAATACATTTCCAACTAGCGAAATGAATCAGAATAAAAAATAAAAATAAATTTAACATTACATTTTCAGTTATAAAAGAGAAGGTTTTTAGTAAGAACTTAACATTTATCCATTATTTTTGATCACTTACAATTAATTTATATTATCTATTTGCTGCCAGTTTTGTAAAAATAATATGTGATGTAAAATTTAATATTTATGTTAATGTTTACATTTAATTGAGTAGTTAGAACAAATAAATAAATTTTATTTAGTTCATATTTGTTTAATAATTCATAGCTTTATTTAATAATCTCCTAAACAAAGCGTTTGCAGACATACCTTCGGAGGAAATTTTTTTCTTGTTTTGAGGTACTTAGTTCATTTTTGCAGTTTGGCCAATAACTCTGAAACACTCTGTACAAGTTAAAAAACGAAAACTTTTCTCACATTTTCCCATTACCACCGTTAATTTTGTGGTCTAATATTCATTAAATCAGCCGCCATTTTTACAGATAGCAAGATCCGACTGGCAGACTCTCATTTTTTAAATCTAAATGCTTTAAACATTTTTAAAAATGCTTTTATAGTTTTTATCAAATATCTCGATTTTTCTTACGTGCTCTCGTACTAATAGTTTGTTATCTGTAGTATCGTGATTATCGGTGACCCCTTCTAGGCTATCTGTGCCATGAAACCAAAATATATTTATACATTCCCTTCCTCTTTTCAACCCCTTTCTTTCCGATTATATTCGGTACAGTGCAAAAGTCTTATTAATTTCGGTAAAATCCTAAAAATATTAAAAGACTAATGAGCAGAATCACAAATTACAGTCGTTATTGTACATCATTTTAAATTGATCTATAATGCGGACAACTATCGTTAATTTTTATAAATAAACAAAAACTAGGATTGGAACATGGAGACATGACAGCAACTGGACCAACAACCAGGGAGCGAACACGAACATTTCGTCAATACAAATGCTAACTATTGAAACTGAAAATCATAAATCTAATATCATTATCAATTCAGCCCAAAAAACGAGGATGTTTTAATTTCAACAATAATATCTGCTTTTATAAATGTTTAAAGATTTTTTATTCAGTCTTTAAAAATATTTAATTAAAATTTCTTCTGTTCATTTTTCCTAATTTTGTTGTCTTGAAGTTTTTATTTTTTACAATAAATTAGTCCAGTTATCACCAACATTTTATTGATACGCATTAATTTTGACGTTTCGACCATACTAAAGGTCCAGATTTGAAAATGACCCTTAGTATGGTCGAAACGTCAAAATTAATGCGTATCAATAAAATGTTGGTGATAACTGGACTAATTTATTGTAAAAAATATTTAATTAAAATTACAATTGCTATAGTGCAGGAATAAATGTTTCATATTCGATAGTTATCATTAGTAGAGACGATTTATTCTCTAGCTATTGATGGAAGCAGATACTGATAACTCATTATCACCAAAGGTATAAAATGGTTCTGTAATATCCGCAGGTATTATTACACTTCTCACTAATGTAAAAGTAGTGATAATCATTAAAAAAATGTGCACTACGAAATAAAAACTATATAACTTTGAATCTTATAATAACTGAAATCTCAGAAAATTATCGTAATATTCAACTAATAAACATTTCAGAAACCACTTTTTTGCATTTATCAGGAACTTCAATTCTACATCTACGGAGTAATTTATATTCTTAATAGAAAGAAGATAAAAAATATATGAAAAAGCTTCCAAAATTTCTAAAAAATAATAATGACGATGATCAGATAAGATTCTAAAATATTATTAATTCTTCAATTTGTATGAGATTGACATGCATTTTGCGGGTAACTATATAAATGAATAAACTATATAAACGGGTAATGACTATAAATGAAAATATTAAACAGCTGTGTCTGGAAACGCCAAGTTTACGTCGCGTGTCTCCCGGACGTCAAATTAAAAACAACTATGGTAAATGTACCAATAATAGACATTTTTCAACTCATTAACAGATTATAACTTTTATACACCAAAAATAGGTTGCAAAAATGAATAGGTTTGCATTGAAAACACTTTAGAGAACGATTCCTCAGCCTCAAGTGATATCACGCCCCGATAGCGTGTTGCCAGTTGATTTTTTATAAAACAAGACTGGTTTCTTTCACGGTTTTCTTTGCAGATAAGTTAGAATTTCGTTTTCATTCCCCTGTGTTTTGCAATTTCTCAGTTTAAAATTGTGAAGAAATTATTTAGGTTTCTTTTTTAATTATAAAAAAAATCTATTTACCCAAAAAACCTGAATGTCGATTACTGGTACAAAATATGCTGTCAGAATTCCTTTAGTTTTTTTTATGAATAATTAAGTAATTGACTGTATTTAAAAAAAAAAGTGATTAAAAACCAAATCGGCTTTCAATTAAACCTATTTGCAAAAATCCAACGTCAGTACTAAAGCTGTGGTTCAAATTAATCTTGACAATTTCCCTTAAAGTGTCTAATTATCTTATATTAATTGGCAAAATTATAAAATACCTACGAATTAATATTGAACATCCTGTATTTAAAACATCATTACATTGCTTCAATACTATATGTGTGTGTATGTTTTTTTTAGATTTAATTCAATTACTATATTTTAAGATCAATTGGATATGTGGCCAGTCGGTATCAACCAGTCGAATAAAATTTCGTTCAGCAACGATCCTGAAGAACACCAGGGCAATTAAGACTTTTTTAAGTACCCAATTTAGGTATATTGGATTTTGTATAGTGTTAGAATGACTTAAATTCAAGCTAAGGACTCAGGGAAATAATAAATAGTATGATATAAATTATTTGTTTTCTTTTCTGATTTTACT